ATCTAAACTTAGCACTTAACAGAGTTATGAGATAACAGATTATAACCCCTTGTATAATCATCTTTTTAAAAAGCTATTCCAGAAAACAGGAAAAAAAAAAACCAATAAACATTGAACTATCAGTAACGAAAAATTAAAACGGCAGTTACAGTATATAATGTATAGGTTTCTGAGTTTGTATATTTCTTCATTTTAGAAAAAAAAAAAATTGGATTTTTTTTTCCGTGTCGTTTCTATTCCGGTTTGCAGTTTCTCATGAATCTATGATCCGGCTTAATTACTTGACAAATGCACCACAATTGGTCCGTAAACCACACTCCATTCAATGGATATATGGCCACAAAGAGAGTAAACTAATACAGACATCAAAGATTCTATATTGGTCGTCTCTTAAATATTGTTGAATGATAAAGTTGAGTTAACTAAAAAATAAAAATAAAACAAAAATAACTACATCATCAAGTGGTTACAAAGAATTAATTAAAATGTCATTTTCTTTTTTATATACATATATTTTAACAATAAATCCATGTTCTTTAAATATGAAAAAAAAATTCATATGATTGGTGTAATTTTTAGCTTAATAATGGTTTGTTGGCAAGTTATAATTAGTATAGAAAACGTTTATGGGCATGAAAGATTCTAAACTAATCTTAATTTTCCCATTAATTAAATTCATATATATAAGATAAAAAAAAATAACTATTATTTTAACACTATGGTTTTAAATAAATAAAAAAACTTAATTGAAATGGTATCATTTCCCCATCATTTTCGACTGTTGATAAACTAGTAATTGCAATCCTATTAGCCCCAACATTCCATATATATTTGCCTTGCCAGCCCCTGTAATTGCAGAGCATCATCTATAAACTCATGTCCAGAGTCCTCGAGGATAAGTTCTAGTCTTCTTCTTGCTTTCTTCATCTCCCATTTACCTGTATTTATTATCACTCTGTTCAGTCTTCTTTAGAGAACATGGTTATCAATAAGAAGTCCAGGAAAGAAAGCACACTTAAAAAGATTCTGAAGGCACCCCTTAGGATTTTGGCGAGGGCCAGGGACTTCTACATGAAGGGAATGGCTGAATACTCAGATCAGGTCTGTGTGATGAGTTGCCCAACAGGCAATTTCAATAACATGCCTCGAAGTTACAGTGTCAGCTCAACAAAACCAAACCCCTTGGATGATAGTAGTGAGCCTTTAAGGGCTGCCTCCACCAGGAGTAATTTAGGAAGTAGAAACAGCAAGATCAATGTGGATGTTCCTGCAAGACAACAATATAGTCCTAAGAAATCTGCAACTCGACTAGGAGACAATATGCCTAGGAGTCATACTGTTGCTATTGGAAGGATTGATGAAGAAAAACCATGTGATTTTGATGAAGAGGATGTCAGGGTTAAGACTAATGTTTATCCCAGAAGCAGAAGCTATGCTGTCTCTATAAGGTGAAGTAGGGGGCCGGTAGTTCCCTTTTATCTTCACTTTTCAGACTTTCTTGTTCTCTTGTTTGTCAAATTTGGCTCAATTTCTTGTTTGCCAACATATATTTACAGTACCTGTTTCAGCTTAATGTTCCAACTTTGGCACGTGTGCCGTTCATATCCTTGTTTTTGACAATTGAAAAGGAAGCTTGTCATCAATTTTCATAAATTTCTTAATCCTTAGTCGTCATGTAGAAGGTTGCCTCGTCCTAAATTGGAAAAAGTAATTGAACTTAATCTTGAAGGTTGGTGCTAGAAAACCTTCGATACATACTACCTTAAATGTGTTATTTATTTTTGTTGGAATTGGAAAGTTCTGTCTCAGAATCCTCATCCCCATCCGCTTTCTTTTCTTTGACTTGAAATTTTATATGGATTAGTGTTAAGGTAGTATTTGGTTAGTTCCATTCACCAGCGCAGACTGAAAAAAAATAAAAATTGCTCTCCGAACCGTGCTGGATAGTCACCTATCACGCAGTTCTCACTCAAACCCAACCCGTGGTGGATCCCGAGGGACAAAGTCAAAGCGCCGATCAAGCGGCGACACTACTCTAGGCTTAGCTTTAAGCTGCTATCGTTCGGTTTGGATAAGTCAAGCAGCTTCGGTCGGTTTGCCCAGGTGATCTTCCCTTATCTTCCCTAACGTTCAGAGTTGTTCTGGTTTGAGCAAGGAGCACCGGCTGAGCACCCTAAACGAATAAGAAATGGACAGCAGAGGGTGCCGCAGGCATGATTATTATTATTCAACCAAGTTGAAGCTAGCAAGATGTCGACTACGCACCAGAGCTTGGTAAGAACTGAGGGACGATGACAGAAGAGAAAAGTTTTGAGCAAGCTAGTCAGCATGACTTAGCAATCTAAACGCCTTAACTAAATTGGATCCAGCAGTAATCCAGACAAACAAAGGCGTACGGTCATAAAGTTGTGGGCTAATTAAAATTCACATTTCACAAATATTATGCCTTAACTAATGAGGAAAAGCTAATAGTGATTTTAGGACAGTCATTCAACATTGTCTAAAGAACGTACCCCAATGTTCGACAAAATGCTGTTAAATATGAGAGTCTCTTAGTGCTGCCATTGACAACCCAGGCAAGAAATCTAATTATTTTATTTTAGCAAATTGGGTAATGCTTTTATTTGTTTATCTGTTTTCTTCCGGAGGTGGTGCTAAACAGAGCAAGCTAAAGCAGAGGAGGATGGCTAAGAGGGTGGCAAGTGATGCAAACGAAATCACAAATAAAGAAAGATAAGAGTTTGTGACCGAACAGGGTTTGCATACAAAAATACTAACCCGTAGTTTTATTCTAAATTACAATTATAATATATTTTGCCTTCTTAGAGGTTACAGCTCTTTAGATAAGTCAAGAAACTGATCATTATAATGCGGGAAAATCAAAATCCTGAAAGAAAAAAAACATGATATCAAATCCAAGATTTATAGAAAATCCAAAAACTTAAATAATATTTTTTAGACCTAATTTGAGGGTTTTCCAAAGCTGTTAGACCTTATATAGAATTGGATCTTAAAAATTATCTAGTAAAATTTAAGTATCACCTAACAATTTGATTTTTAAAACTTTTTATGTCAAGTTATATTGAACTTAGCTCTGTTATGTAAATAAATCCGCTAGGTTTATATATATATATATATATATGATCCATTAATAGCAGATCTTCGTTTAGATGTTGTTCAGAACCGTCAAACTTTTCTGACCCACCTACATCAGCAAAGGAAAGCTTGAAGTCCTCTACTGTGGAGACTGCCGTTCAAGACCAAACTTTGAGGTCTCCAGCCCAGGTGACTTGTGATCAAGATTTGAGATTGGAGTAGAAATCTACTTGAGGAATGCCCCATCCATCTATTTCCCTTTTGATGCGTCGACATACCAGAAACCCAAGTGTTTAGTTAATTACTATTAGCTCAGATGTTTTCAATGTGATCTTTTATTATCTGTTTCAACAGTGTGTATTGATTGTAGGTTGCTTTGTTTCAGGCTCCTTGGATTCTTGAAACATAGATATAACACTATGCTGCTAGCTCATACAAATTGCAGATGAAAGGAAAACCAAACAAGCAGCCTCTGTTCTGATAGATTTTCAGTAGGGTGGATTTGCAGAAAGTTTACTGTTACAAATCGCACCTTAAGAGCTGCGATTTGATATAATGACATTGACGATTACCATTTAAAATCTGTATTGCTACCATTTCATCTCCTCCCTTCCTCACTCTACGATCAAATCTGAACTTTGATCCTCCCATGTTTTTGGTATAACCATGGGACAAAAATTTATGGGATTCCAGCATGGTTCTTGCAACAACAGCTAGATCTTAGTTGCTAGAACATTTTCATGTTATTATTATTTTTCTTATTGTAACTTTAGAATTCCATTTTGCTCTTGCAATCGATTCAATTTCATGTAGAATTGGTTCCAAATATGCTGTTAGAAGAATCATAAAAAAAAAAACCAGTGATTAAGCATAAGACAACTCCATGTTTTTCAAGAGAATTAGCTTAAGTTATCCCCTCATCTCCAATATATCCATACAAATATAATTGTTCCTAATATTTTCTTCATTTTAAATTATTCTTCGATATATTCTTCTAATATATATTTTCCCAAAAATTAATAGAAATACACATATCTTCTAAAACTGGGTTAGGTTTAAGTTTCTCCCCAGAAAGTATTTTCATTAATTCTGGTAAAAATACTTAACATAACGATCATTATTCAGAGATAAATCAAAAGCAATCAAAGATAAAATAGACCAGGCATAAAAAAAACCAAAGACAAGTAGCGCTAATTAATTATATTTTTACGTTTTGCATTATTTAAGACTAAAAATCGTTCTGATTTTAAAAAAAGAATCGTAGAAACACAGACAACTTGCATTTTATTCTTCTTCTCATGGATCCGAATTTTTGGGTGAAGTAGCGCGACAAGATTCAATGGCCAATTATTGCACAAGTTCTCTACATAATCAAGGCATGAGGAGGAGACAGAGGCACAGGCAAGGCAAGCAAAACTTGCTTCAATAAAGCAGGACAGTCATCCTATTCACCATGGCAATCACTGCTAGCTATATATACCTTATAAGCATGGAGACAACATTTATCAAAGGGAGGAAAGACCTACGAAGAAAGAAAAAGACATGAATCTTGCAAGAGTGTCTCGTGCATGCAGACATACTGATGAAACATAATCCACTGCCTTAAGCAAGACTACTTGAGGACAACTGCTGCATTTTGATTCAGTCATCCCTAATTGCCAACAGAAAATATACAGCCATGTCGCATGAATGCGCACAGGAATGGAAGGGTTGAACCACCCTAGCCAGGTTTTCTGTCATTCAACAAAACATATGTATGAGCACTGAGTGATAGAAATCATGTGTATGTATAATTCGATTTATGCAGTGTTTTTGACAATAATCCACATGAATCTCGTACACAACGTAGTTGAAAAGCCTTGTCATAGATTACAGACACGAGGCATTGCCCCCACTTCAAAGTCAGGTAGAAAACTGTCCGGGTGCATATATGAATCCATGAGATCAGAAAATACATGTAACACGTCGGGATTGGAATGATGAAATTGGAATAACTCAGAAAAAAACTAAAAATCCGAGATGATAGATGGAATAATACAGCTCAATCACAAGGGTAATCTAAAATGAATCTAGAATGAATTGATAGGCCACTATGTCTTCAAATAATTTAATGATTTATCATTCTACTCAGCTGCTCAGGAACAACTAATATCCACAACTAGCATATTAGCCATGTAATGAAATTTTTCCAGGCTCGATGGATCTGCCGGAAAGGATTTCGGAACTGGGATCACAAGGTAGGGATGAGTCTAGATTGCCTACGTTTTAAGAATCGACGCAGTGTCAATTCCCATCTGAAGCATTGAATTTATTATTTTATTCAAATCCAACGATATAAAATGTTGATATTGAAAACATAGGCATTGTAGCAAGCTAGCAACCCACCACAAGGCAATTACTGTTTCACCATAACAGAAACTTGGAAATTTTAAGAGAGAGAAGAAAATCCAAAAAAATAGCTACTCTTTTGATCACAACAGCCACTTGGGCATGGTTGAAGGGATGCTGGAAGGTGTTTTTGGTCACTTTGGAAAACGAAGATCTTAGTCCCTATCACGAGCACAAAAGCACCATGATTTAGTCAAAAATAAGTTCAAGTGTCACGCCAACAATTCTCTTCTTTATGCACATAAACTCAAGTCACCCCACCCCACCTAACAAAATCATGCTTCTATCATACCAAGTCCTCCATAAGTGGAACATTATCCTCCAATCATGCACTAGTTTAAGCCATGTAAAAAAATGCCACTACATGCTTCTCTCTTTTCAGTACTTTCAAACAAAGCCTTCAATTATGGCCGTAGTGTTTTTTATTTTTTTTTCCTTTTTAAAAAGAGTGAAAAAAAATAAAATAAACCATGGCCACCAATACAACAATTAAAATGGCCAATCAATTATTTCATGCGTTACAAACATCCAATCATCATAGTATATAACATATTTTTGTGAGAACCGACTTGAAACTAACCTCGAAAAGAAGCTGAGTAGCCATGTCAATATCAACCCACAAATTAACTCCAGTAAAAAAAAAAGGGTCATTGTTTTTATTATAAAAACAAATTCATTAAAATTAACTCGGCTAATCTCATGAAAACGTGAACGAGTCAAAAAGATTTTATTATATTAATATCCTTTTCAATTTAATTTGAAATTCATCTTCAATCAGGATTTTATGGGTTTTCGGGTCAACTACTGAGTTTAATAATTATTGTATATGGTATAAAAAAGAATACTCAAAATTTATGCTTGATGCTCTTATAAAAAACAGACAAACCTCTGATCAAATACTTAAAAAAAAAAACAGTATAAACCAAACCAAAATACAACACCATGCACGGATGAGCAACTAAATTAACCACTGTCAAAATCAAACAAAACTTACCTTTTTTTCCTATGTTTTGGTCGGTGAATCATTCACCATGGCCCATCATCGGGATAATCAAAGGGGGTCTCGGTGACCGTGCCAGAATCCAGTAAATCAGGGTGCACAAAACCATACTTCCTCAAGACTTGATTATCAGCGAAATTCAAAGCCTTGACCATCCCATTCCAACAAGTCTCCCCGTGATAAATCTGGTTGTGATCCCCACTACAAGGCTGACAGCCAGTAAAATGTGTGATGAAGGGTCTCCTCCAGCTCCCTTTACCATTCCCTGCCTCCTTCAAGTGTGGTTCTCTAAACACGCCGTATTGCTCACTCACTTTCTCTGCATGTCGTCTCCTCAATTTCCCATCTTCCTTTTCCAACTCCGTGTACTTCTCCGTTATGTTATCGTACGTTGGCACTATATCTGCCCAATACCCTTCAAAGTAATACTCCCCTTCTAAGTAAATCTTGTCCATCAAACCCTTATCCTGATAAAGCATATAGATCAAGCCCGACTGATCGTCTGATTCAGGGAACAGCTTGTCCTTGAATACTGACCGTTGGATTGGACCCCACTTCTTATATTCAGAACTCATTGGACCCATGCTACTCCATTTCTCCATGAAATCCATAGACCACTGACAATTTCTTATCAGAAAAACGCCAGCGTTTAAAGCCGTCCAACTCTTCTCCTTGTAGATCAACTTTTCCCAGCCGTGGACCACCAAGTTATGGTTCCTGTAATCATAACGCCGTAACGGGAGCTTGTATTCCATGTCGGTGAACATGGCATCCGAGTCAACCCACCAGATCCACTCAGCTTCTGGGTGAGCTAGCATGGCTGCTTTAACGACGGGTAGTTTGGCCCAATAACTAGACATTTTAGGATGTAACAGAACATTGTTGTAAAAGATGTCGTAGCCGTGGATTCTACAGTAATCAACTTTGTTCTTGAAGAATCTTAAAAGTAAATGATCACCTATTGGGTTCTTGCATGGCTTCGATTGTGATCCAGTCACAAGAACCACACGATCACGAGCGCCAGGAGCAAATGAAGGGTGACGTTTGAGCCACTCTTTTCGCTTCTCGTCCCAGTTCTTCATCGGTCTCTCGATCGAATAACTCATTTCTTGATCGTCATAGAACGTTTGGTCTGGTGGGTCGTAGCCTAAATTGACAGCAGGATTTTCTTGAACGCATTGGTGGGTCTGGGGGTCGTTGGTGGCGGATTTTGTACTACCGTTGGGTTCGAAACTGTGCGGAACTGTGTAAGACCACAATGACCAGACTAGTAAAAAAGCTAATAGAGCACCGCCAAGATAGAGAAACCCGTCACTGAAACAGGAAAAGGGTTTGTTTCTAACACTTGATTTCGCCATTGGAGAGTATTGAGACTTGTTTTGGGGCACTTCTGGTGTGATCATTTTACATTAAACTGCATATGAAAGAAAGAGAGAGGCTAACCAGGTTAGATTTTTCTAGTAATATTGTATTTTCTTTTGGCTAGTAGTAGTAGCGACAGTGAAAGATGTGTTGGACTAGGTAGGTTTTAATGCATTGACCAATATTGATGCCGCAAGTTAAGAGGAGAGGGTTTATACAGGAGAGATTATCATATAATTTGCAAAAATCTGGTGGGGTATTTAGGAGCAAGAAAATGAGTTTGTGATTGGAGGATGGAGAGCGTCGGTGTCCCGGCGCCTTGTAGGCTAAAATGCGCCGGGCTTGTTAATCGAGGGCTAATAATTATATAATATGGTCCTTGCTTTTTGTTTTTGTTCACATAGGTGCTTTTACTTAAAATTTGATGAAGTCAATTTATCTTCGTCTGTTATTTGAGTCTAGGGATGGTTATAAATTCAGTATATGTCAATCTATTTTTTTTTCCCCTAAACTCGAATCATATCTTCTAGGTTGTATTTGATTAGTGTTTTAGAATAAAAAAAAATATATACAAAAAGAATATAAACTGGTTTGGTTAGAGGAATGGAGATAAATATTTGAAATAAATTTATATTTATAATAGTTTTAGAGTTGATTTTTGTCATCTCAAAATATAAAGGAATTGGAGACATCTTTTTTTTGTCCCTATTATTCATGTCTCTTTTATCTCGATATAGTAATAAAATGTTGTCATATAATTTTATGTTAAAATCTTACTGACAACAAAAGAATATTGTCTATTCTATAACCAAATTTTGAATATTCATGAATATTTATAATTAAAATTATATAAAAAAAATTATAAAAGGAATAAATTACTCTAACTACAATTTAAGAACGCCATGTTCATTAAAAAAATATAAAATAAGATTGCTAATTGAGTAACAAGTAGACACTAAATATTATTTATTATGTACTAAATTCTCTATATTATAAGTACATGGATACCTAAAAAAACATAAATTTCAAACTCTTGCATTTAGGTTTTTCCATATCACATCCATTGAATACCTATCAAACATTCTAATGAGGTTTTCATTAGAATATATAAATAGTATTGAAAAAATTGTAAAAATATGTCTATTATTGTTGTTATTATTATTATTATTATTATTCGGTTCGATTAAATTTATTTGATGAAGGATCTCATATTTTCTTTATCTTTAAAAAACGGGGGATTGATTTGATCATAATTAAAGTTAAAAATTTTACTGAGCAAATGGTAAGAATAGAAGGACATGTGAGAGGGAGTCTTAGACCTGAAACGACAAGGTAAGGCGTGAACTACGGCAGTAATGGGGCGCGTGTTGATGAGGTGTGGGGTTTTAGAAGTGACACGTAGGCTATTACACGTGACAGTGTATCACCGACACTTTTCCAGTTGAACTACAATTTCTGGTATGATTTTGGACATTTCCGGCATAAGTTCCGTCATTTACGATACTTTTGTCTTAAGTTTTATTTTATTTTAGTTAATTATTATCCTCCATACCGTCGTCTTCCCCTCGCCTCAAGAATTGGGTTCCATTTTATTTTATTAAACCCCGGGGCTCCTTTAATTTGGCTCTTGTATTACATAATTAATTATTTTATTTTCAAAACAACGACCCCCTAGTTCTCCGAATCTCCAAATCACATATAATCACTAAAGAGTAATATATATCTTATCAAGCAATTTTAAAGATGCATTATTAGGTCAATTTAGTACATTAAAGATCTTAATATATTTTATTAAATACTAATTTTAAAATTGTAATTTAAGAAGTAAACAAAAAACAGAGTTATTCTCCTTCATCACCATATTAATCTTGAATCTTTAATTGTTGGTTATGTACAGTATGGGGAGAGGAACTCAGATATAAAACCTCTTAATTTGAAGGGAAAGAAGGGGTTATTATGAAGTTCGGAGACTTTTCTGACTTTAATTTGTAGAATAAAATGGAGAGACGCCTTATTCTAGTTTAAGGAGGTCTCGAGGAAAATGGGAGCCATAGTGTCATGTGATGTGGCCATCGATTGTTGAAAACCCATTCTAAAACAGCACACAAGTCAAAACAGGAAAACCAAACGGACAAATATTTATAGCACTTCAATGCACTATAATTAGCTATAAATTCTCTTAACCATCAACATTTAACCCGACAATACTCGGCTATTTTGGTTATTAGCACATTGTTTTTAATATTAATGAGATAATCTGGTTTGAAAAAGACAATCCGAAATGGCAAAGTTCATATATTTAGTGATTGGATACACAATATTTAAACTTCTTGTTATTTTCAATTGCAATATTTCAAATATAACACTCTGAAATTAGTTCCACGACAAGAGATAAGAGATTGGACAAAAAATACAAAGAAAGACCTAGAAGCACAAGATCATTTTTGTACGGTAAATACAATACATTTGAGTCATTATTGATAATCTTATTTGGTACGTTAGATTTATTTTACCAGGGAATTTTTTTGATAATATTAGTAATATCATAATTAGTGATATTATTAAATTAAAATAAATGAAAAAACACTTAAAAACACATTAATTTTATGTTTTTTTAATGAAAAATAATTTAAAATCACTTTGAAAATCAGAAATTATTGCAGTGCAACAAATCAGAAAAAATTAATGGACGCATGAATTCTTCAACTTTTGTATGTCAACGAGGACAAAAATGGTGTTGTCCGTTGCTAGTGAGGAGTCCAAAAACCATATGTAGCACGCAAGTCGAAACGACCACCAAGTGAAGACACCAATTCTGAGATCAGATCCTCCATGACATGTTTTTGTGGTATAATCAGCTTTTATCTCACAAGAAGCAAGAAGAGCTTTATTATGAAAGAGGAAACAAAAAGGCGTCTTCTGTTCATCTTCTGCTCGTGTTATAAGGCCATGCTCCCCCAACTTGTTTCTTTGTTCCGTTCAACGGTTTAAGGTCGCATCCATCTTTGCAGAGCCTAGTCCAGTCCAGGTATATTTTAGTATCAGAATTCACAAATCATGTCTGGAGCATAGTTGTTAAACCGACTTGGCTTTTTATAAATTGACTTTGAAAATTCAGATCTCGAAGTTTGATTCTAGTTAGATTTAATGTTGAACATAAAAATATAAAAAAATTGATCCAATAAATGATTTTATTTAACCTCATCAAACATTGTATAAACCCTACCGAATCGGTACTAAAAAATTTCTTTTAAAATGATGAAATATATTGCTCTAATAAAAACAATTCATTTGGTTGACTCGATGATAATCCATGGATGAACTATTGACTTGGTGACTGAGATCCCTTTTCGGATTAATTTTCAAGTAGAGTCTAGCAACTGCAGTTAAGAGCCCCAGTGATTTATTTGAAAAAGAAATTAATGGCTAGGTTACGGGAATGAGTGTTTGTCTATGTATTTTAAAAGTATTTTTTTTAAAAAAAATTAAAATTTATTTATTTATTTTAAATTAATATGTTTTTAATTTTTTTAATATATTAATATTTAAAATATTTAAAAAGAAACATTATTAATATATATTTTAACATAAAAACTTATTTATAAAACAATCAGACTCCAAAACAAGAAAGAAACTCGCAACCCTGTTTGCCCTACCTCCATGTGAGGAGTCGATTTAATTCAGACGGACAACATGATGAGCCAACTGCAGACACAGTGACCGTTCTGATCACAGTTGGGTCCTAGGTCTCTCCTGTCACTGTCTGGCAATGGTATCTCATCTGAGAATACACAACAGTAGAGGCTTTCATAGCTCAGTTGGTTAGAGCACCCGTTTAGTAAGCGGGAGGTCTTGAGTTCAACTCTCAATGAAAGCATTTCAATAATTTTTTTTATATATATTATCTTGGAAGCAGGTAACCAAAGACGGTGACCGTTCTGATCACAGTTGGGTCCTAGTCTGTCACTGTCTGGCAATGGTATCGCATCTGAGAATACACAACAGTAAAGGCTTTCATAGCTCAGTTGGTTAGAGCACCCGTTTAGTAAGCGGGAGGTCTTGAGTTCAACTCTCAATGCAAGCATTTCGAAGATTATTTTTATATATATTATTCTTCGGAAGCTCACAGGAAGATAAGCGTGGAAGCAGGTAACCAAAGACAACTCTATCTCCGTTTTTGTTCCGTGTTGTCTTGTCCCTCGGTATTCTTCTATCTCACGCTATCAAAGTCTATTGCGGAATGGAAACCAAAGACAACTCTGTATCATGGCCTGCTGCATGTGTATTGAGGGCTGAATTTATCAACCCAAACTCGCTACAGTCCTCATCATTTGGACAGTTTCAAATCAAGAGGTAGAAACTGAACACCATTTTCTGTTCCAGCACATATTCTTATAGGCGATTTGAATAATAGAATACAGTACAAGAGAATAAAATTATTTTATTCATAGACATTCGTTGTAATGCACAAAAACCACAGCAGAGAAGTATTTTGCTTTTCCACTGCCTTCAAAATATCTAGGCCAGCTTTACTTATTTAGAGACACAATGACATTAATCTAAGATCTCATCCACTAATCAGTTACTTCTAGCATTCAGGAATTACGTTCCTCGACATCCTTCAAGGTCTCGCCACTTGAGGTAAACCAGCCCTGCCTGGTAATGAGTATAAGCTCCAGCCACTACCAATACATGGAAAAGTTGGTGACTGTGCCCTGCAATGTCAAATTTCCCAGGCATCCATCTTTCTGGAATCCTTGTGGCATAAATCAGTGCTCCGATTCCATAGAAAATCCCCATCAGGACCTCATAGCCAGTTGTGTGAAGGGCCTCAGGCTGATGCCAGAACAAGATAAGCTTGTGCAGAATAGGCGCCACCCCAGACAAACCCATGCCAAGGAAAAGGGATGCACGAACGGTACGAAATTCGGGGTTTTGAAACACTGGCAGTAGTGAAACCAATATTGTGGCAACCCCCAAGAGAGTTATGAAACCCAAGTACAGGTTACAGAAAAAAGGATTGCACATGAAGGAGTAGTACACAGGAGGGTAAAACGAGGTGGAAATGAGGGCTGCAATTCCAGCATAGTCAAGCCTAAGCATGATGTATGTTAAGAGCTCGGAGTGGCAAGAGAGAAGGTGGCAAGTGCTGCTAGCTAGCAAGCAAAACATAGCCCCACCCAAGAAAGCAAAGAATGGCCAACGTGTGATTGGCCTCAGCATCAGGGGTGCTATCATGTTTGCAACATCCTCCTTCATGCTA